TACAGCTGTTGAGTAAGTGACACCAAATTCAGCACCTTCCTCTGACTGCTGTACAGTATATCTCTCAATATTTCCTCTTTTTAGAAAGTCTGGGAAATTTTCTTTTTCTTAGATGTTGGAGCAAAAATGAACAACACTACATTAACATCTGCAATGGGTTTAGCCTTATATGCCAGCTGCACAATTTAACTTACCATCCCTTATTTCTACATTCTAAATCCAGAAATGCGAAAATGGTTCATTAACCTTTAATCTTATGACCACTTCCTCTAAAGCACTATGATGTCATGAGCCCAAGGGTTCTGCCTAGAGACAGAGAGGATTCTGTGTCTGTCAATAGAGCACAAGACATTAAACGTACTTGACATATGAAAGCATCTAAAGTAACGCAACACCCAAAATTAAAATTCAGTCATCAATAAATTCCTTCTGTGGAACTCAAAAGAAAATATTTAGCATAAGTGTTTTTATGTCTATAGAATGGAAGTCGAACGTTCTTCAAAAAATCAAAATCAAAGAAATGCATACTGGTTTGGAACAACACGAGGGATGTAAATGAGTAAATGATAACAGAATTTAGATTTTAGGATCATGTATAAAATCACCACCCTAAGCTATGTTTTCCATGAACATCTGGGCTGACTCTGAGCAGCATTTTTAGTTATAATTTCTAGTACAACCTTTCCCATTTGACACTCACATGCAGGAATCCGTATGAACTTATGTTTGGTCTCAAATCTAAATAAGAACTGTGGTTAACTGCACATGGTACAACATCCTTGACAACTTTCTCTCACTGGTATAGGTGAAACTTCACTTAGCTGTTAAAATGGTTATGACGGGCATTAGGCGTACTGTACATCTGCATCAGCTTTTAATACAGGGATCCTAAAAGCAACACCACGTGTGCTCAGCAGATACATGCATATTTCATACGCATGCATGACCACAAACTGCCTTAATGCAAGTCATTTTCATGAAAGACAACTTTGCACTTGAATATTCTATAGTGCGTACTACAGCTAGATAAAAATCTGCTGCAGTGACATTAAGAGAAAATCTATATTTATTAACATTCATCATTTTATCTTCCTTCTTTTGTGTCCATTAATATCATTGAAAAAAAATGTCATTTGTACTTTACATCTATGTAAAGATAATGCACAAGATAAAAACCCAACTTTATTGGTCTCTGACAAACACCTTGATTCGTAAAGTAGGGTTTAACAAACCCAACCATTTCACATCAAACTTTGTCACATAAATCATCTTGTTAAGTTGCTTAGATATCTGTGTGAACTTTGACTATAGTCTTTCAAACCTCACTTCTGCAGTGACATAAATAGACCTTTACACTGCTTTTAACTATAGTTCTTTATGTAAATCTCAATCTTTCATCATTTAAAGCATTTATTGCATACAACAGGTCTTTGCAAGACAAGCAGGACAATGGCGGAATATTATTGTACATAAATATTGTACATTTATCCACTTGCAATATAATTTGCAGTAGGGCTGCACGATATATCGTTTCAGCATCGATATCGCGATGTGCGCATCCGCGATAGTCACATCGCAGAATGTGCGATGTTTAGTAAACTGATCGTTATATTTATACTGATTGTTTTCTTTGCTCACACACAGACACGGTGTCTACACCGAACATGACAGCTGTACAGAGATACCCATTTTAAATACATTTAGTAGCAGAGCTACTGCACGCGATTTTCAGTGCTGGAAATCCATTTATCCTTTGTTGAAACTTCCGCGTTGTTGTGGAGAGTGTGCAGGTCACGGTCGCTTAGCAACGGCAGACGCCAAGAAAGCGCAAGCTCCTGAGTGCTTTGTAAAGAAGGAGAAAGCGGCCTGGCGCGGCTGGCGGTTTACCCGTGTTTTTAGGTGTAACATGTGAACGGCCCCAAAGCCTGTCTACACTGGACACGGCAACGGCAAAGCGACCGTTGCAAATCATTTGAAATTTGTGTCAGTACGTCATAAATAGGAGGCATCAGTTTACTGTCGGGGATTTGTCGTGTCGTGTCGCGCCGCATCCAGTGTAGTCAGTCACACAGCATCACTGATTATAATGGGTTCTATTGTATTTTGTTGCGCCGCTCGCGTCCGGTGTAAACACGGTGAGTGCCAAGCAGATGCAGGTGAACACTGAATTCTGTTCACTTCTGCATCTATTTGTGGCTGAAATACTGTGCTCTGCAAGTATACTTGTAAACACATATGCTTATGGCTTAGGTGAAGGTAAACACTCGTCTCGTCTCTGTATAGTTCATATTAAAGCAGTGTTTCAGCACAGTGCTGCTTTGTTTACAGCAGTAACCAAAGAAACGCTGTATCTGGTGTTCCAGAAGTGCCTCCTGCTGTCAGAGAGTGAATCTGCATCTCATTCAGAGCATCTGCTGTTTGCTTCGTTCAGGCATGTAGTATAATTTCATAAAGCAAGACAAAACATTCCGTTTTTGCTTCAAATTGGGTTATTATTAAATCAAATTATGTATATGAAATTATATAACTAAATTATCATTTAAAAACAAAAACTATTAAAAATATTTTTGGTAATCAAAATAAAGCTGAAATTAAATATAAATATTAAATAAAAAAACTTCAGTGCAAATTAAGAATATTCTCAAATTTAAAAAAAAAAGTTTTTAATAAACATTATTCAAATACATTTCCCTTGGCAACTAACTGCATTAAATAAGGTTAATTTATGAAATTAGCCTACTAAAAATAAAATAAATAAAAGCAATAGGAAAATTAAAAGAAAACTAATAGAAATGACAAAGGCACATAACAAAATATACTAAAAACATATAAAAATTGAATTCAAAATATTTATAAATACTGTAATAGTATATAAATAGGCTAATACTACAATTACTAACTCTTACAGAGAATAAGATGGTCAAATATCAATATATTGCTATTCTTTTTTTTCTTCTTCTTTTTTTACAAGATTGCATCTTAGTTTACATTTTAATTCATAAAATATCCTAAATAGGTTCAATTAATGAAGAAGCAGGTCATCTAAATAAGTCTAAACAATGAAAATGTGTATGTAGCACAATAAACAAACATACTATTGATCAATATTGTAAACTGCATAAGAGGAATTGAAACTGATCCAATTACAATGTACTGAATTGGGACACATGTATCATGCTGTGTATCATATTGTGAGGTAGCAGCTGATATCCAGTCCTGAAATATATATATATATATATATACAAAGACAGTTTACAGAAATGGAAACCAGTTTATCAGTGAAGACACATTATGATGACAATGCTAGTACACACAACAAACCGCTGACTCTTGTTGTTAACTCACATCATAAACAATAAAAACATAGAAAAATGGTGAGGAAAAAGAAAGACAAGACTTTGTCACAGTTTAACATCAGAGACTTGGGGGGCTGTCTTCATACCCCAGTGTTGAGTTTGTGCCAATAATAGCAAAGACTGCCAAGTGGGTCACTTGAGCCACAGGAACAGACCCACACCACACACATGCTTACCATACTCGAGCCTAGTCAAACTGTCAAACACACACAAAATCTAACACGTACACAAGCAATCTCATTCTCACAAATGTGAACACAGATTGCAAGATGAGGGTTCTCTTCTCTTAATGCAGAAACACAGTCATACATCTCCAGTTGAGTCAGCGACAAAGTCACTTCCTCTTATGGGTGACAGTCTGGTGAACAGTCAACTATTTCCTCTTTCATATACATACATATGCACACAAACAAAAGCGCACACAAGCAGCCTTACACCATCAACAAATGCCATCTGTATGCCAACGACCCTGACAGATACCAGTGAACGTCCAGCGTTATCTACAACAACCACAGGCTTCTTTCAGCAAACAAGCCGTCTGAGAGAATCTTGATATAAACAAACGAGCCTTCATACAGCTAAAATAGTTGTAAGACACAGCCAAATATTCACAAAAGATCTATTCATAGTGTGTAACTCAATACAGCTGAATGGGAGTGTAGACATGATGCTGTGTGTAAAGGTGTGCATGAATGAATGGATTAGTGTCCCTCCTCCCACTGTCTGCTTCACATCTGAATGGCAAGATACCATTACGGACAACAGACACTTCCGAAAGAGATGCAGCCATTTAATTTCTAACCACAGCTCCAGAAACAATTGAAACGTAGCTAATCCACTTTATGCTGCAGTATTTATAATAGTGCAGCCCACTTGTACAAACTGTGATTTGCCAGACCAAATATTATTTAGACAAACACTAGCTTTTAATACTATTACACATATCTAAATTGTAATACTATTTTAATATTAGTAAAATGCGTGTTTGTATTATATCCAGGGCTGCTTGCACATTGACTTCCATTGAGAGGATGAAGAAAGGCGCGTGATAGGCTATAGAGACCAACGGCAGCATCTTTTGTCTGGCACTACAGCCTCTATCTGCATTTATCGTCCGTTTAAAAATGCTTTTCACCATCGTTTAACACCCTATACACTAAATAAACTGTTCCCATAATGGTAAATGAAACGGCTATGTCAAATATAAAGGGAGCATTCTAGTTTTGTTGCGCGCTCGCATATATAGATAAGGTGCAATGTGGTTTCTACGGGTTTGCATGTTAAAACCTGCTGAATTACTGGAGCAAAGGTTAATGAAGATTGTCTCCTGTCGTTTCAGCTGAAGTGCTCTCTTCAGTTTTATTCATATAGGAAATATGATTTGGGAAAGTGAGATGTGATGCCAAAACAACCAGGGATGCCAGTGCCTTTTAGACAGTATTTCTAATGGCAAGTATATATGGGTTTTGTCACACCACGCTGGATTTGATCAACACAAGAGATAAAGCGTGATACTAACGGTTTTCCCTCGTACATGCACTGGCTATTGTAGCCAACACACAAATACCGATTGACACCGCGCAAATGCACCAAAAGGGCACCCACGCGCTTCGCTTTATTGGTCTTTTTGTTGTCCTCTCAAACCAAGAATCGCGAGAAGCGGGTCAGTGGAGCACGCAGGGAGATTAGCCCACATCTGAGGGACCCACCTGCTTGTGTAGTATCGGTCAGATCGTAGTTGAGCCCCGGGTAGTCACGCAGTTTTCTTCCGCTGATGTTGAGCATCCCGGAGCAGACAGCATCTTCCAGCGCTCGTTCCAGACTGCGGGCGGTGTGTAGCGGGTGTTGCTGCTGCTGCTGCATCACGCCTGGGTTCCAGTGCGCGACACTAGGATAATGCTGCCTCTGGAGAGCCGCCGCAGGTCCTCCAGCTCCCTGACTCGCCGCCATTTTCATAAGTGAAATTATTTTTACAATAATAATAGGGGGCTGCCTGGCGTGCCGCGCATGCGCAGACGACGGAGGTGGGGAGGGGATGGGCTACTACTGAAAAGGGGCGGGGGATTGGCTCAGCTCTAAGTACGGCAGGTATACTGTAAACCATGAGAATTAATTTATGTTTTGCCTTTTATTTTATATAGGTAGACAACTATGATGTTATTTGTCATTGGGAATATTTAAGCGCGAAGAATGGATAGCGAGTTAAACACTTTCAAAAGCTATTGCGTTTAAAAAAATTTTTAAGATGATTGTTGAGTGATATGAGGTAGAAAGAAGGTTGAATGACTTTCCATTTAGGGCGTGTCTTATCTTCTTTCATGTGGTGCCCGGCGGGTGTTCAGTTGTGGTTGGTGTGGCACAGAAAAACGGGCCATGTGCCCTGAGCTCAGAGGCGAACCCTGGCGGATGAATGGGGAAAATATTTACATTTATATTTAGTCATTTAGCAGACGCTTTTATGAAAAGCGACTTACAAATTAGGACAATGAAAGCAATCAAAATCAACAAAAGAGCAATGATATGCAAGTGCTACAACTCTGTTAGCTTAACGCAGTACACGTAGCAAGGGTTTTTATATAATAAATAAAAAGAAAACAGATAGAATAGAAAAAGAATAGAGCAAGCTAGCGTTAGAGGTCTTTTTTGCTTTTGTTAATTGTATATTAAATAAAAAAAAAAAAAATAGAAAGAATACAAAATATTAGAAAAGATTTTTTTTTTTTTTAAGAAAACAAGCAGTAAATGAATAGTGTAAGTCTAAAAGGGACAAGTTTTTTTTTATAGGGTCGAAAAAAGATGGAAGAGATGTGTTTTTTAGCAGATTCTTAAAGACAGCTAAGGACTCAGCTGCTCGGATTGAGTTGGGCAGGTCATTCCACCAGGAGGGAACATTTAATTTAAAAGTCAGTGAAGTTGATTTTATTGTGCCATCCAAAAGAGGCACAATAAAGCGACGTTCACTTGCAGAACGCAAGCTTCTAGAGGGCACATAAGTCTGAAGTAATGAATTTAGGTAAAGGGGTGAAGAGCCAGTGGTGGTTTTGTAGGCAAACATTAATGCCTTGAATTTTATGTGAGCAGCTATTGTTAGCCAGTGGAAATGGATAGAGGTGACGTGCATTCTTTTTGGCTCATTAAAAATTAATCTTGCTGCCTGGATCTGGATTAATTGTAAAGGTTTGATAGAACTGGCTGAAAGACCTGCTAAGAGAGCATTGCAATAGTCCAGTCTGGACAGAACAAGAGCTTGAACCAGGAGTTGTGAAGCATGTTCTGAAAGAAAGGGCCTGATCTTTTTGATGTTGAATAAAGCAAATCTGCAGGACCGGGCAGTTTTAGCAATGTGGTCTGAGAAAGTCAGCTGATCATCAATCATAACTCCAAGGGTTTTGGCTGTTTTTGAAGGAGTTATGTTTGATATGCCTAATTGGATGGTGAAATTGTGATGAAAGGTCCAAGAACTGAGCCCTGAGGCACCCCAGTAGTTAGATAGTACCTTGAAGGACCTATCTGAGAGGTAAGACTCCAACCACTGGAGTGCGGTTCCTGAGATGACCTTTGCCAATAGGGTTGACAGGAGGATCTGGTGGTTAACCATGTCAAAAGCATCGACAGATCCAGCAAGATAAGTATTGAAGATTTGGAATCCGCTCTTGCCAGTCTTAGTGCTTCAACAACTGATATCAAGGCAGTCTCGGTTGAATGTCCACTTCTGAAACCAGACTGGTTGCTGTCGAGGAGGTTGTTCTGTGTGAGAAAGGCAGAGATATGGTTGAACACAGCTCGTTCAAGTGTTTTTGCAATGAAAGGAAGAAGTGAAACCGGTCTGTAGTTCTCTAAAAGAGATGGATTAAGGGTGGGTTTCTTAAGTAGTGGAGTTATACGAGCCTGTCAAAATGCTGAGGGAAAGACACCAGTGTGAAAGGATGTGTTAATGATGTGAGTGAGTGCAGGTGCAGGAGAAATGGCTTGGAGATGAGATGGAATAGGATCAAGCGGACAAGTAGGATGAATAGAAAGGATGAGTTTGGAGACTTCTTCCTCAGAGAGTGAAGAGAAGGATGTGAACGAGTGTATTATACTGGTTGTAATAATATATAAATACTCGCCACTAATAATAATAATCCTCATCATATATTTGTAACGCTATGTTTGAGTTATGATTATGAATGCATGAAAAAAAATATGTCTGCTAAAATATAACCTACTGTTTATTAAAAGCTTTTCAGAATAAGTAGAACTGAAAATAGTACTGGTAATCACAACATGTAATGATCTACATAACTTTTTAATACACAGGGGAAATTCCCGACATTAAACTAAATCATTTACATGCTTAGAACATTTGCGCTGTAAGAATTTACTGGGATTCGGATATAAGATAACTCAACTTCAGGTGATGTTTTCTCATTAAAATTGTGTGATTTGGGAATGCCAATATGGCCGCGTGATGGCTTCACTTTTATGACGTCATGAGCAGTCCAGTTTTATAATAATCTATAAAAGAATATATTCTCTCTCTCTCTTTCTATATATAGATAGATCTGATAATAATAATAATAATAATATGGATCTATAACATATAGATCAGTGTAAACAAAATATACTGACACAGGGCACGTATTTACCTGTCAATGCTTGGAAATGACTGCAAATCATTCTTAAGTAAATTAAGGAGGTTTTTTTTCAACCACGTAACTGTTGAATCTACTCTTTTTTTGTGTGTTCAGGTGGAAAACTTTGGAAAAGTAGCCAAGTCTTGAACATCTCAGATTAAGGAAACTATTTGCCCTTAATTTGTCCCGAATGACGATTGAGGGTTAAATCGGAGCCTTTGGGGTGAGGAAAGACATTTGGATTAACTGTAAAATATTTAAGAATAAAACATGTTTTGTCTGTGATTATGATAAACAATAAATGAGGGGGGAAAAGTTAAGAATTGAATTCCTGCCGCTAGTTGTGTTGTGTGTAAAGCACCTTGAAAAGACCTGCCTACCGGGATTAGACACAGCGCTATTTTGGGGCTCTTGTCACATTAGTCGTCAGATTCATAGCGCTGCTGGGCTGGGTCACGCTGCTAGGACTCACCACTCACTTGATCGACACAAATAAACACCAAGAAAGAGCCTTGAAACCGGGTTAATTAAAAACGTTTCATAGTTCGTCTCGTCAGTAGCGTTTGTGCTTTGACGTACCTTTGGAAGTTATCGAGTGTAAATTCTTTGGTGTTTTCGAGACACACGACGCTTCTGAAACTTTTGCGTGCGTAAAGACGTTGGAAGACGAAATGGGGGAGACTGATGTTCAAATGGAGAGTACAGAGCAAATGCAGGAGCCTCACGCTTCAAGCTCGGACAAAATCGACTTGTCATTAGGTTAGTAATTGCGAGGCGAGACATCAACTTAAAGTCATTGTGATTTGAACGAGTTGGCAGGAACCGTCGGTTTCGCTTCTGTGTTGACGTGTAGAGCAACAGCGGTCAGCTGTCACATACATTCATTCAACAGCTGTCTACCAACGTGCTCGCGCACACACACCATTTACCTCGAGTTTAGCATTATAACAAATGACTGAAATGATATGTGACTCAATGACTAAAATGAAGCAACAGTTCAAGTAAAAGTAAAATCAAATCTTCAGTAGCCACATTATGACTAGCAGCTGTTAGCCAGCCATATTAATACAGACCTTAATTATTTAGTCAACAAATTTAAAAAATATGTTTGTTTGTCGATTTGTCATGCAAATCTTGTATATTCAGAGGGGGTTTGAATAGAATACCCACCCACTCATCAGATATACAAATATAAATTTAGGACATTAGGAGCCTTAACATGCAGCAAATTACTACTTAAGTCTTCCCAGCTCAAACAAATATCCAAATATTACCTAATATATCATTCATATTTAAAATGAATGATTGCTCTTTCAGTGGCCGTTTTAAAATAAACCAGAGGTATAATACTTTGTTCCTTTTGTTTTCAGATGACATTATAAAGCTGAATAAGAAGGAACAGAAGGCAAACAGAGCTGCCAACAGAGCTCAAACTAAACGTGCTGTTAACAGGAACAACGTCTTGAAGAAACTCAACCAGGTTCCACAGCAACAGAGGGGACTCAGACGAGGAGCGCAGCAGTACCAAGGCAAGCATTTGATACTTAAGTCTCTCTTATCTCCTGCTTTTTTTTACAGCTGATACATTTGGACTGTTTGGCATATGACTTCTGCCTGACCTGATCTGTTTTAAAAGGTAAAAATGCTTCAATTGAACTGTATAAAGACTTGTAAGTTTCTCATAGAGGCTTGTCTCACAGGGCCTGGCAGGGGGAGAGGGTTAAGGAGACAAAGAGGATCCGGGAGGGGCATGATGTTGAGAAGGGATTCACTAAATGCCGCTGCTGCCGCTGCCACGGTAAGAATCATTGAATTGTTTCTGGTTCTGAAATAAGGTTAAGTAATTGAAGCACAGATTACGATTTAATTAATTTTTTTATTTAATACTTTGCATAATAAGGAGATTTTATTGTTCAACAATGTTTCTACTGTTCATCAAAGACTGGTGAACAGTTTGATCAGACCACATTCACATCGAGGGGCACATTCAGAGGACGGGGAAGAGGTAGAGGAAGAGGAGGCGGACTGAGCAGGTTCTACACTCTTTTCTCTCTTTTAACATTATCATTCATAAAATCAGAATAATAAAATATACTATAATAATACAGTATCATGCTTAATTACTAAAGATGGAACAACTGATGAATATTGGTTTTATTTTTTATATCCAAAATTATCCTTACCAGTAAAATTCAGGAATCTCAGTCTAAAGTACCTATTGTTACATCATAAACTATTTATTATTATATTCTCTACAGTTTAGCAGCGAGTAGAACAATATGATATATTATGACATATGTGTAACAGAAGTGGTGAAGTTGGACACAGGAACTCATGAGAACTGGTTTTCATGGGAAATAGTCTTCCAATTTATAGCACAGTCTCTTTGAATATTCTATTTGAAGCCATAATATCTGCATAAATATAAACACTGCAAGTCACAGATGCAGAAGAGAGAAGTAATAGAAAACATTTCCATGCAGCCAAGGCTGAAATGCCCAGGTTTTTTTTTCTTAAAAAAAAAGAAGTTTAGGATGATGCAGCTGCGGTTTATAATCTCAAAAAAATTCCGACCTTGAAGAGGGTGTAGGGACACACAAAAGCAGAGATATACACTACCATTTAAAAGTTAATAGGATTTTTTTATTTATGAAGTATTAAGAAATGAATAGTTCTATTCAGCAAGGAGCAATTTACTTGATCAAAAGTGACAGTAAAGATTTAAAATATATATTTTTTAATTATTCATCAAAGAATCCTGAAAAAATGTTTCCACAAAAATAGCTGAACTGTTTTCAAAACTGATTATATATTTCTTTACGCACCAAATCAGCATACGAGAATGATTTCTTAAGAATGTGACAGACATGTGAAAGACCGTAGTAACTGCTGTAATTCAGTTTTGCCATCACAGTAATAAATTACTTTTTAAAATATATTAAAATAGAAAACTGATATTTTAAATAATAATTGCAGTAATAATATTTTAGATAACGTTATTTGACTATTACAGTTTTACTGTATTTTTCATCAAATGAATCTAATCTAATCTAAAAATCTAATATATATAAAATACAACAGAACAATAAATGGGGGAAAAAAGATGTGTTGGGTGACATCTGGTAAACTCTGTACCGCATTTTTGTCAGACTACAGACAATAGGCTCCTGTTAACCCATTACGTTATGGGTTGTGAAATAAAAAACAAAATCTTCTTATAAATAACATTAAACTTTTAGAAATAGAGCCATAATCCCACCATAGCACAGTCTGCAGTTTAAAATAATTGTTTGTTTGCTGTTGTTGTTGTAGGGGTGCATTGTCAGCAAGAGGACAAAGGGGTGGAAGACCATTTGTATTAGACAGAGGGGTAAGAAGGACAATCTTTATTAATAAATCAACATTCAACAAAAAAAAAACATTCACATTATACAAAACCTATACACGGATTGACCTTCGAAGTCGAAGAACAGCACCATCTGGCTCCACGCTGACAGTATCCCTGCCAAATGCTAAATCTGCACCTGTCGCTGTGTGAGTAAATGAACCTTCTCACTTCCTTCTCATTCATTGGTTATACATTTCTCTTCGATTATCTTTTCTTTGTCTCTCTCTCGCTCTTTTCAATCCATCAGGAAGACATCTAATCAAACTAGGAGGGGTGGGGCAGTGTTAAGGGGCAGATCATCTAGAGGAGCCGGTACTTCGTCATCTATGGGGATTCCTCTGCAATTTAACTACAAAGCAACTACTAACCAGGTGACTTTAACCTTCCAGCAGAGCCTGTATACCCAGTATGGTGGGAGAGTCAGACATTTATTGCATTTTATTAGCCTTACGTGTGTCAAGACAGCAAAATTTTATTATTTTTTGTAAACTTGGATGATTAAACTTAAACTCTTCAGCTTTTAGAGCCTCTGTTTTTATTTTGTTTTGTAGACTGCCGTATACCTTAATGACCGTTTCACTGACCTGAGGTTAAGAGGGCAAGAACGAGGCCGGGGAAGAGGTGGTGGAAGAGGAGCTGTTGGAGGAGGGGGAAGAGGTGGAGGAAGAGGAAACATTGTTGGGGGTGGACGAGGTAGAGGACAAGGAAACATAGGTGGTGGAAGAGGCAGAGGAAGAGGAAACTTTATGGGTGGTGGAAGAGGAAGAGGAAACTTTATGGGGGATGGCAGAGGAAGAGGAAACATTATGGGGGGTGGCAGAGGAAGAGGAGGGGTTGGTGTGGCAAGAGGAGGAAGAGGCTTGAGAAGAGGGAGTGGAGGATCAAGAGGAGCCGATCGAACAGTAACTCTTCAGTGATTAGAATTACAACCAATTTTATGAAGTAATAGTGTTTACTGAAAAATTAATTATTTTTGGTAAAAAAAATTTTTTTTTTGGTGCATCACTATTTACTGTCATGATGTCATTCAACTAAATATTTGTAACATTTCTGACAGCGGGATAAGGGGGGTTTATTGCAGTGTACAAACAAAAAAAAAGTCCTTTTTAAAAGAATGTAAATTATTGATTGTTATATGATGAAGGTTTTTAAATTTTTAGGTTATGAAAAAATAACATTTTAAAAAGTACCTCAGAGGGTAATGAAGTGCCTCTTCAAATTCAGTGTAAATACTGTTTTGCATTCTGACATTAGAAGGTAAACTCAGTGATAAAAACTGAATCCTATACTTAAAAAATGTAAATATATCAAAAGTTGTTTACATTTGATATCATCATATCAATAAACACCAAACAATGGACAATGTTTATTTTTTGAAGAATTATTTTGTGATGTCTGTCTGTTTGTTTGGACATGCTGCTTAAAGGGAAGGTTCACCTAAAAATGAAAATTCTGTCATAATTTACTGACTGTACAGTGAGCACTTTGACAAGACAATGCCAGACTGTCAGGATTAGGGATGGAGCTAAATCATCTCTCTTTAATCCTGACAGTCTGGCATTGTCTTGTCAAAGTGCTCACTGTACATATAGTGCTCATAACACAATTTACTTTATGATATAAAATACAATATAAAAGTTAAAACTTAAGAATTAATTTAAACTTTGATTTCATATCAAGTCTCAGCTTTCACAGCTTACTAGCGATATCGCTAGCTATTAATAGTCTGACACTGGTGGCTAATTAAGCTGTCAACATAAAGCTAAAAATGACCAAAAAACATACAGAAACAACTGTTCAGTCTTACCTATTAAAGATAATACCCCGAGATCTGTTTTTATTATTGTGCGACGGTTTGTAGATGCCCAAGCTGCCGACGAGTCAGGTATGTTTTCGCCTGTCCCGATGTGAGAGTTGCCTTCACCAATATGGCGGCGACGTTGCCGTGCGGTCGAGCGGCCAATGAGGCGTCTAGGTATTTATTATATCTATGATTTGGACAAGGCAAAAGTTCACATCTAGCCAAGTACAGCTCAAATCCCCGGATGTGTTCTTGCTCCGCCCGTTTTATCAAGGATGCATCCAGAGGTGACTTGTACGAACTTGAGGCAGCCAGGTATCCCAGAATCTGGCATTGTCTTGTCAAAGTGCTCACTGTACATATAGTGCTCATAACACAATTTACTTTATGATATAAAATACAATATAAAAGTTAAAACTTAAGAATTAATTTAAACTTTGATTTCATATCAAGTCTCAGCTTTCACAGCTTACTAGCGATATCGCTAGCTATTAATAGTCTGACACTGGTGGCTAATTAAGCTGTCAACATAAAGCTAAAAATGACCAAAAAACATACAGAAACAACTGTTCAGTCTTACCTATTAAAGATAATACCCCGAGATCTGTTTTTATTATTGTGCGACGGTTTGTAGATGCCCAAGCTGCCGACGAGTCAGGTATGTTTTCGCCTGTCCCGATGTGAGAGTTGCCTTCACCAATATGGCGGCGACGTTGCCGTGCGGTCGAGCGGCCAATGAGGCGTCTAGGTATTTATTATATCTATGATTTGGACAAGGCAAAAGTTCACATCTAGCCAAGTACAGCTCAAATCCCCGGATGTGTTCTTGCTCCGCCCGTTTTATCAAGGATGCATCCAGAGGTGACTTGTACGAACTTGAGGCAGCCAGGTATCCCAGAATGCATTTCGCACCAACCAGCAAGCGTTAATGGCGGAGGAGAAAACCTGCATAATTGTCAAAATATTACCGTTATTGTATCATGAAATGCAGTTCTAAGAGTATTTCAGGCGAAAATGTAGTTGTTTAAAACTTAAATCTGCGTTTATTTATAAAGATAGCGCCTATTTTAAAATTTGCTTCGCTGATTACAGAGACGTAGCTCCACGCGATCACCGGGAGCTCAGTGCTCATGTATCCGCCGAGAGCAGTCTCACGTCGGCTAGTCCTTCTGACATTTCCCGCTGGCTCTGATGTCTCTGTAGTGGTTAAACATGAGGTAAAATTCGTTTTGGGTAAATCTAACAGGCAATCTTTGGTCTCAAGAATCTATTATTTCTTGCAGGTCATATCGTTTTGGCTGAGCACAAAGTTATGTTTAATAAATTATTTATTAATCGTAATACAACGCTGACTTTGTTGCATACATTTGGCCGAATTTTTGCTTTTGTCTTTATTTCCTAAGTCTCTTATACTTTATATTTATTGTTTTATAATGGCTATTTTGTTCATTAAAACTGACATTTAACAAAAAAGGCAGAGTTGTGCTTGTCATATTTCATTTTATTATAGGCTATACAGTGAAGATAATCAGAGTATATGTGCACATATTACCTAAACCACATGTTAATGTTTTGTATTTTTAAAATGAAAACGAAATTAGTTGTGTTTTATATTTTGAAGAAAACGACAAGGCAGTGGTGCTTGATATAATTTCGTTTTATTATAATGCGCGTATTTGGTGTCATGAAATGCAGTTCTAAGAGTATTTCAGGCGAGAATGTAGTTGTTTAAACCTCAAATCTGCAGTTTATTTATAAAGATATCGCCTATTTGAAATTTTACTTTGCAGATGTCGGAGATGTGAGATCCATGTGATCAGCGGGCGCTCAGTGCTTATGTTTCCCCACGAGAGCAGCCTAACTAGTCCTTCTGACACTTGCTGCTGGCTCTAATGTCTCTTTAGTGGTTAAACATGAGGTAAAATTCGTTTTGGGTAAATCTAACAGGCAATCTTTGGTCTCAAGAATCTATTATTTCTTGCAGGTCATATCGTTTTGGCTGAGCACAAAGTTATGTTTAATAAATTATTTATTAATCGTAATACAACGCTGACTTTGTTGCATACATTTGGCCGAATTTTTGCTTTTGTCTTTATTTCCTAAGTCTCTTATACTTTATATTTATTGTTTTATAATGGCTATTTTGTTCATTAAAACTGACATTTAACAAAAAAGGCAGAGTTGTGCTTGTCATATTTCATTTTATTATAGGCTATACAGTGAAGATAATCAGAGTATATGTGCACATTACCTAAACCACATGTTAATGTTTTGCATTTTTAAAATGAAAACGAAATTAGTTGTGTTTTATATTTTGAAGAAAACGACAAGGCAGTGGTGCTTGATATAATTTCGTTTTATTATAATGCGCGTATTTGTTGCATGAACCATATTTTTGTGAGCCTATTAATATTTTAAATGAAACAGAAAAGAGGCAATGCTGTTTCATATAATATTTAATTTCACTGTAATGTATGTACGTTCCCTGAACTACATTTTTGTGGCTATTAATATGTTTAAATGAAAACGAAAAGAGGCAGTGATGTTTGATATCATATTTCGTCGTATTGTATACATACAGTGTAGAGAACCGGAGTAGCCAAGGCGACACTGCTGTTGCATTTGCAGAATTACCGGACTTGTGTACTCCCATCCCCAGGAGTTCGTACTCCCGAGTCGAACTTGCGAAGTACGAGCTACCGAGGACGCAAGTCCGAACTTTGCATGAGAAACGGCTTCTCGCTCAAACATCCGCTGCAGTAGCAGAATGAGGCGTTTTGAGCTCTGATTGGTGTTTATCACGCGACGTCACTTTTCCGCTATTTCCATTTCTAGTCTAGTCAAAATGGCGGATTAACAACAAACGAACGGTTTCGTTTTTGCAACGCAAGAGCTGTGTAAGTCGCAATATAGGTTGTTTACAGATGTGCAACTGGTTGCAGCATCAGATATGTCTTCATTGCGTCCTCCAGCGGCGTTAATACAGTTGACAGCAAAAGGTTGTCTGAGGTTTGAACGAGGCCAGGAGGACTAGAGACGTTAGCCCGTACGCTAACTTACACACACACAGGCTGTCTATTTCAGCCGTGTGAGCTGCACACATAGACGGCTTTTCGGGGGTCTGGCCGCACCCCTGATGTTCACGAACGCTGTCTAGGTAACTTGGAAAGCTCACTAGGTTTGGAGACAGTCGCAGAAAGAGTTATGGAGACATCAGCACCAGCAGGTCTATGAGTATTGAAAGATAATGTTATAACTTTATACAGCCAGTGCATGTAGTATACGAACAAGGTGTTTACAGGACATATGGACCACTGTCTTATTGTGCAGTCAAATGTAGGCATAACAGGGCTGATGTTGTAATCCTGCATCTTTTAAAGCTGCTTTGCATCTTCAAAGTCCTGCATCCTACTGTCCCCGCTCTCGGTTTAGATCAAGACGTGCAAAAATGGCTTTTTACTAGTATTAGATTGTTGTTATTCTCAGAAGTCTTGTCATTAAGTGAAGTACTTTGTGATATTTGTCAGGTATACAGGGTCCTGTCCCCTAGACTTGATGTTTTTGAGTAGCTGCTTCTTAAATGTATTATATGTAGTCCCCCAATTATGAATATATGGCTACATGATTGTATAAACAGCACTGTTGCAGTGATCTAAGTGCAGTACATTTCTGCTGTGTTTTAGAAAGTTGACATGGCAGACAAAAAAGGGAAATCTCTGGCGGTGAAGAGGACGCTAACAAAAAGAGAACAAGAGGAAATGAAGAAAAAGGTAAGGACTTTGAGATACCCAAGATTATTTTGTGTTGTTGTCTTGTACAACATTTCTGTCTCCCTGTTAACAGGAGGAAGAGAAAGCTGCTGAAGTCTTTGAGGAATTTATAGCTTCTTTTGACACTAATGACAAAAGTGGAGTGAAGACATTTGTACGAGGAGGCATTGTAAATGCAACTAAAGGTGAGTTGTTGTGCTTTTCTTATAGTATATATTAATATTTTGAATTAGCCTTTATTATATTCAGTTTTATCTTGCCTTTGTAATTTTTATCTAGTATTAATATTTTATTTCAGCTCTTTTTCAACTTGTTGTAGATTTAGTTACAGTAACAAAACTGATCTAATTTCTGTTTCAGTGAAATATAAAATATGTTCCCTAGTGTGACTAAATGTCTCTTTGTTTGGGTGTTTAAGCACCTCTAGATCTAGATCTCTGTTTTTGACACAATAAACCAGTGATCCGGTTTCTGATTTGCTGAAACGCTTTCTGATTTGCTGAACCGCTCAAGCTGACTTTGTGTATTAGTGTAATGCTTATATGTTGCTTGCAGGAAAAAGTTTAGAATTTGAATTGTGGGCTACTATACTATAAACTATCAATCTAAGCTGTTAGATAAAAAATGGAGGAAGGAGCGAGTTATGATTGCATGTTTTTGTTGTTGTTCATTTCTCAGAGGAAGAATCCGCAGAGGTGAAGAAGAGCAAACTCTACAGACCCGCCTCTAAATTCACTTCTCCACCTCAGAATACCTCTCCTGTTCAACCTGCAGAAGTTAAAAA